TAGAAGGTAATTTAAATACCATTAAATACAACAAGGCTGCAGTGTTAAATACCTATCGCTAGATGGATGCAGAGACCATACTGTAGTGCAGTTTCATTGTCCCTTCTGCCTCCTTCCATCCATTCTCAATTTTAAGCCTACTTCATAGACACTGGAGAAAGGTGCAGTTTGCTGCGCTTGTGAAAACAGCATAAACTTTGTTGTGATGATATAGTCCTTAGGAAATATGGTCTAGTAAATGTTTATAATATAACTACTTAAAATGATAGCCTGCTTCCGTGTGAACTGGTTCAATCCATCTTTAGACGTGATGTTCTAATACACTATGTGAATTTTGTTGTATGTATACTGTGTACAAAGACAATAAAGAATTCAATTCATTAGGGATACAGTATCATATCTGGGCTTCATTAATCCAGATGATCACCTGGATCGGGGGTTCTTAACCTATATTTCTGTGAGGTTGAGTAGTTAAAAAAATGACAACTTCCTTTTCATTAACCTTTGATGGAAATGTGGCTTTTCATTCAATAATGTATATAGGCAGCACAGTTATTTATGCCTTTCGATAAATCTCTAAGTCTAAAATTATTATACCCTAAAATAAGGTATTGCTATTAATTTAATGGAATAATAGATATATATTTTTACTGTTACATGTGATATATTTTAGTATTTTGATGACTGATGTACTTTGTAAGATAATCCACATGCGTTTTATTTATGCATTTAAATGTATTCCTTATTAAACACGGGTTCCTTAGATTTCACAATTCTCTGAACAGGTCCATAGCATAAATAGCTTAAGAACTCCTTACCTAGCATGACAATTATATTTTTCTCTATCACTGTTGCCACCTAGTGATTATTTGGATATTTGCAACTCAGATTAATAGCCTGTGATTTGCCATTTTCAGAGGTGAAGTGCCTTTTTATGGCAGGTTGTATAAACAAGTCTCTATCCTTAAAGGAACCGTCCATCATCTATTTTTTAAGTCCCCAGAAATGATCTTCTTTTCTTCAGTTATTAATAATGATGCTATCCATTCAGTTGTGTCTTGGCGATTCTGTGGACCAACTCCACTTTTTCCGATTTTATCTTCCTTTCAGTTGTTTTATACTGTGGCTGGTGTTGGTTTTGATGGTGTCTAGGCACCATGTTTTTTACTAGTCATCACTCTGAGCATAGCCAAGCATAACTGCTTTTCCAATGAGTTTGTTCTCATGACATGGCTAGAATAAGCAAGATGGAATTTTTAAATTTTTCCTTTCAGCAATATGTCTATTTTTATATGCTCCAGTACTGGCTGGTTTATCACCTTTTACTACCTAGGGAATGTGCAAGAGCCTTCAACACCACAACTTAAGTGATTTGATTCCCCACCCCCCTAGTTTTTTCATGGTCCAACTTTCACAACCATAGGTAACTATGGGAAACCTGATAAAGTGGACTAATCTGCATTTAGTTGCCAAGCTGATGTCCTTGGTTTTCCATATTCTATTCATGTTTATCATTGCTGTATGACCCAGTTTGATTCGACACTTTATTTCTGGACTCCATTTGCTGCTTCAATCAATCTGCAATCCTGAGAAATTCTTGCACACATTTGATGTCTTCACTGTCAATTGTTATTTCAAATATTTCTGTTTTTTTTCAGTGGTCATGAGCTTGGTCTCTTTTGACCGTTCAGGAACAGGCCACATTTCTTATTTTCTTCTTTCATCCTTTTGATCAGAGGTTTCTGAGAGAAAAGTTGTGCCATCAACATATTAAGGACTGTTGATGTTCTTCCTTCAATCTTTGCTTCAAATTTTAATTCTTCAACTTCCAACTTCCTTATGATCATTTGGTATATATATTGAATCAGAAAAGTGAAAGTGTGCAACCTTGCCAGACTCATTTCTCTAGCGTGAACCAATCAGTGTTTCCATAGGGTGTTTGCACAGTGGCTTCCTGATTTGCGACAGCATGACTGCATCATGTTGACCAGATGTGTTGGCATCCCAGGCTTCTAGAGCTTTCCACAACTTGTCATTATCAACGCAATGGAACACTTTCTTGTAGTCAATAAAGCAGATGTAGATTTTTTTTATATATTCTTGAGATTTTCCAGCATATGCCATGACCCCTTCTGAAGCCAGCTTGATCATCTGGTACTTCCCTTTTGATGGCTGGTGCCGGATGATCTTAAGGAGAATCTTGCTTAGGATGAGAAATAAGGGCAAATTTGTGGTAATTGGAACAATCCTTGGAGTCACTCTTTTTAGCAATAAAATGAACCTTATTCATTTCCAAACCTACAACCATATATTCATTTCCCAAATTTTCTAGCACAGGGCTGTGATGGTTGTAGTGGTGCTGGCCTAGACAGTTCTGTGAGGATGGTATCAACATTTTGGCCCTTGTTTTGTCAGTTGCCTCAGTATCCTCACAACTTCCTGAAGGATGGCTGCTTCTATTTCTGATTCCCTTTCCTCATCATTCTGAGGAGGTTGGGCCTCTTTATCGCTGGCATACAACTCTTCTCTATATTCTCTCCATCTGTCCGTGACACTTTGTTGATAAGACAATTCTTTCCCTTGCTTGTTTGCGATGATGCTTTTATGAGCAGGAAATGGTGTTTGGATCCTTTTGACTTGTACAAATGGTTCCCTGATGTGGCCCTTCATTTTTCTAGCTGCTTGCTACGGTAGTCCTAGTAAACTTCATTTGTTTTTCCTTACTGTTCTCTTCAATCTGCATTCAGTCTCCTTTTCTTCTTCCCATTTGTCTGCTGCTTTTCTTTGTTCAACTATTCTGATTAGTTTCATCTGGGAGCCACTTACATTTTTTTCTTGGGCTTCTTGTATGTGTTCAACTGTTGTTTTAACTATAGTTGATTGAACTTGTTGCCACATTACGTTGGGCATCTTCCCAGCAGTGTCCAGCAGTTCAAACTCATTTTTCATCTCAATTGCAAATGTGGTAGGGATTTTGGTGGTATAGTCTTTTTTGATGCTGTATAATTTGATCTTACCAACAATTCGTAATCTGAACTGCAGTCAGCGCCTGGATATGTCTTGACAGCTAGGACAGGACCATCAGTGGCTGCTTAGGATGTAGTCAATCTGATTACAGTGCAGTTTATTCTGTGACGTCAAATATATAAGTGATTCCTGTTTGAACTGGGAATTCATGATTCAAATTTGGTTTTCACGGCAAAATCGAACCGAACAATTACTTCCTTCTGTTTGTCCAAAGCTGCCATTGATGCCTGCTTCTGTTTGCTTGCCAATCTTTGCATTACAATCACCCAGTATTTAAATAATGTCTTTTTTTAGGCACTTGCTTCAGAGTTTTGTCAATGCTGGCATTGAAACCCTTTATTTCAAGCTCTGTTGCATTAATTGTTGGGGTGTAGATTTGGACTCCTGGGATTTTGAAGGACCTGGCCCCAGTGATGGGTTTCAGATATTTTTACTACTGGTTCTATGAGAGTGTGTTTCGCGCCCGTGCGCAGTGTGCAAAATACACTAATTTCAAGCTCTACAGCTTACCTTCTACAGCAGCCCCGGTAAATAAAACAGCTGAGGCGCGGAAATCCACTGTGCTGCGCAAATCAGCTCAGCTGAAAAACACAGTAATATAGGACAGGATAGGGCGGGTGTGGGTGAGCGGGACCAGTGGTCGTGGGACCTATCTGATGTATCTTCATGCAGTGTGGACTCTGTTTTCACCAATGGCTGCATTAGTGTGGGTTTTTTTCCTACTGAATTTGCCCCAAGCACATCATGAATGATTTGACTACTTATTGCGGGTTTTTGTTCTTGTGTAATACAGGTATTCTTTGACTTAAAACAGTTCCTCTAATGACTGTTCAAAGTGACTTACGTCCGTTATTCACACTTAACAACTGTAACAGCATCTCCATGTGATGTGATCAAAGTTCAGATGCTTGGCAACTGACTCATATTTACGATGGTTATAGTGTCCCAGGGTCATGTGAACACCTTTTGCGACCTTACAAGCAACGCTAATGGGGAAGCCAGATTCATTTAATAACCATCTTACTAACTTAACAGTGATTAGCTTAACAGCTGTGTCAAGAAAGGTCATAAAATGGGGCAAAATTCACTTAACAAATGTTTTGCTTAGCAACAGAAATTTTGGGCTGAGTTGTGGTTGTAAATCGAGGACTATCTGTACCTTATGGCCTGTACGTCCTACCATTGGGCAGCATGTCTGATCCATTTGAAAACCTTTCCATAAAAATCTCTTGGCAAGGTTTCTACAAGGTGAGTCTCCAGTTCTTATCTCAACCTACCTCGTTTATCCAGGTTTGGGTTCATTTATTAATATGCAACATTAAAATATGTTAAATTTCTGTGCCATTGCAATTAAGAGTCACAGGGATAGATTGTATTCTGCTAACCAGGAGTTTTAAAGGCCTAGTTTCCTGCAAGTGACATTTCTAGCTCATTCAAACTTCCGTAATTAAGTTTCTTGATTAAACCTAATTTGGTTGTTCCTTCAACATGCTATGTTATAAACTTTGTTTTTCTAGAACTGTATTGCACTGAGTTGGTGTATTGAGACCCATTGAATCACAATGACTAAGTTCACATGAGATGCTGAGTCAGATTGTGACAGCGCAGTATGTAAACCCAGCCATTGTGCAGTATATGCAGCATATAATGGAACTATTTAAAGGTTTGAAGAGAGATAATAAAAGAATGGAATATAATGGAATGGCCTTTTTCTGTTGCTCTACAATTGGCAGCTTTGGGCTGCAATGCTTCATCAAATCTTTGTCTTCCGACAGTTCTGTATCTTAGACTTTAAAATCTGCTATTGTCATTGTAGCATTTGAAAAATACCTTCCATTAATCAGTGAAAATTATTTTTCAAAGAAGGCTGTAAAAAGATCTTCAAACCCGAGATGATATCATGTTTTATCTTTGTGTAACTGTGGGATGTTTTCCCCTCCCTTTGTATTTAATTGCATTTCTCTCCTTTTCAGCTTCAAGAATGGATCAACTCATTTTTTTTCTCCTTCCAACTCATGGTGTCATCCTGAACAAAGCATTGTCGACTCATACTGAGGAAAAAGATTTTGCCCAGGAAATAGCTACATTGTGGTTTCTTAGGCAACTACCTACAAAATCATTTTCAAAAGACAGAAGGCTGTTATAGAAGGCAACACATTGTACAGAATTACTTCGTTGTTCTTCACATTTGTTTTGCTTCCAGTCAAAAACATATTCATTTTTGGCACTTAAAACTCCCTTTAAAACTTTGGGATTGGTTGATCATTGGCTGAAAAGTTTACCGGAATCTCAGTGAAATCATCCAAACTGAGTGATCCTGCAGAAACAAGAATACCTCCTAAATCACCTTAATTCCTCCCCAAACTTCATTGGTGTGCAATCCTGAGGCAAAAATGACCTATAATTTAAAACTATTCCAACTGGGCATTTCTTTAACCTGGCTTGTTGATTTTCTCCCATAACAGTGCCATCAGTAGGACATTCATTCTAGAATTCTGTCACTTTTGCAATTCAGAAGACCATGCTAAAACATTTGGCTACAACTTGGGTCTACTGTTTCCTTTCTGCAAATGGTCGCATATATTATTTATGTACTAAATCTTTTCAGTCAGCTCATCAGTTATTTATTTTTTCTCAATCTTTTCTAAACTGAATGGATGGGTTCTAAGACTTAAAAAGGCATTGTTATGGTTCAGAAGTGCATGTCACTGTGTAATACAGCTTACCCTGGAGTTGATGCATCCAGCTGTGTTGTTGCCTTTATATAAAACAAGATATGGCAGTCTGGTGGAATAAGTATCCTGTTTGTAGTTTGAAGGAGAGATGTCGCCATTTGGAGTATGAAGAAGCAGAACTTTTAACTCGGAAGATAGCTGCCAGTTTTGGTCATCTTGTAAACAAACTCACAGTAAGTCTTTAAAATATTAGAATTGCAAGCTAGGAAGAAAAATTGTTTGGAAATACAGTAAAAAGTAAAAGAATAGCGTACAAGAAAAGAAGTATTTAAGAAGAACAGTTCATTATTTTGAATTTGTTGTCTAAATGATATGCTGCTGGAATTATTTATTAAATTTGTAAGGTTTCTCAACACAGTGGGATTGTTAACACTTAGATTGCTTGGGCTTTTCTGCTTGATTTGTTGCCTTCTACCACAACTTCCCTCAGTGTGATGCTTCTAGATATATTGGCCCTGTTCTGCTTAGCACCCCCAGTTAGCATGTCTAATAGAATTCATCATGTAACCTGGGAATTCTGAAGTTGCAGACTCAGCGTATTTGGGGGAAGGCCTTGATAATCAGTTCATTTTGAATAGAGATGTACAGTGGTACCTTAGTACTCATCATTGATTGGTCCTGGAGGCGTGCTGAGTACCAAAAATGATAGGTACCAAACAAATTTTTCCCATAAGGAATAACATAGCGATAAGGCAGCTGACATTGACATGTTCTAGCTTGTGCATTGAGTACCAAACATGATGAATACCGGGTTGAAATATTCATGTCAGAATGCCTTAAGTACCAGATTCAATGAGTTTCAAAGCAATTGAGTACCAAGCTACCACTGTATTTTTGCCTTATGGAAAGGCTGAAGGGCCATTGCTATCTTTTTCCGAATGCTTTCCTTCTCTTGAGGACAAAGACAAGCAAACTGCATTCTTTTTCAACCTCTTCTGTCAAAGTCAGAACTCTAAAATGAAGACAAATGTGTGTATTTTCCTCTCAGCTACTTAGGTCTGCCAGCAGTGAATTCTACCAAAACAGTTGTTGCTATTATTACACAATATTTGTAGGAGTCAAGAGAGAAAGCTGCTAATAATAAGGGTTGACGGGAATTGTGCCGGGGTCAAACCCCGTTGCCAATACTGATTTTATAAAAACTAGAATAACAGCAGAAGCTGCATAAGATGCTTTTTCTTGGTTTAGTACCATTGCTTTGTGTTCAAGGCTAAATAGCTGGAATTTTTCTCCTGTCAAGTCAAACACCAGAGGGTGTCAGCATTTTATGTAAGATTCAGATCAAATTTGGTATTTTGGGAATTGCCATCTGTGCTCTTTTTATATAAGGAAGGTTTGCTGCCAAGATTTGTGTATAATCTTGTTAGGATTCAGCCTCGATTGGGGAGGGGAGGGGAGATTTGTTTGAAAAATAATGATATGGCTATGTGATTGCAATATCTAAGTGAATTGTTAGTGCGGCAGTGCAAAGTTTGCTGCTGTTTGCATCCATCTTCTCTCTTAACACCTTCACTGTTGCTCCTAAATATTTTCAGAGAATCTTAGAAACCCATAGGAAAAAAGCCGAGCTGGGTTTATACTGTAGTGCAGGTAGTCCTCGACTTACAACACTTTGTTTGGTGACTGTTCAGAGTTACAATAGCACTGAAAAAAGGCCTTACAACCCTTTTCACACTTCTCACCATTGCGGCATCCCCATGGATATGTGATCAGAATTCCTTATGCTTGGCAATTTATATTTATGATGGTTGCAGTGTCCCAGGTTCATGTGATCACCTTTTACAGCCTGACAAAGAAAGTCATTGGGGAAGCCAGATTCACTTAATATCCATGTTACAGCCTGAACAACTGCAGTGATTCACTTAACAACTATGGCAAGAAACATCGTAAAATGGGGCATGATTCACTTAACAATTGTCTCGCTTAGCAAATAGAAAGTTTGGGCTCCATTGTGGCCATAAGTCGAGGACTACCTATATAGCAAAAACCAAAACCTAAAAAAATACTACGTACTGGTGATTTTTGTACCTTATCTTTCCTTGTTGCCTGTTGAAGGACAAGAAACTCTTACTTGCTCTTACCTGGATGTTATTTGCTTCAGAGACATGAATTCCTGCATGCCCTGAATTTCAAAGGTCCGATGAAAGATGTTCTTGTGGCTGTATTTGCTTGGAATATCTTTGTAAAAATTTAATACAAGCCATGCTGGACTAGAGATAGGCTTGACTTAAGATTTATGTGAGTTTTGCCTCACCTGCTGCTCTCCATATATGGAGATAAATATTGAACCTAAAGACAAAGTTAGCAATTGTTTGAAGTTAAAAGATTAGCTATCTCTTTTAACTTCAAACCATTGTTATCTTCGTTATTCAAGAATCTGTCCCTCTTCTGACTAATTAAAGTTGATTATTATGGCTATATGTTTAGGCATCAGGCATCTTCTGTATTGTGTTTTAAGTGGCAGCTTAAGATATTTTGTTTGAAAAGAGAGCCTGGTTGGTAGATTACTTTGACTTTGTTCTTTGAGGATTGTTATGAGAGTATAATTACCCCTCTTGTATATTGGTGCTTTCATTATTTTTGTTCTGCTACTCTTGCTTGCTTGTTTTAATCTGGCAAACTAAGTTCTGTTCATTATTGCATGTCACTTGTGAGAGGGAAAATTAATCAAATTTAAAAAGTAGAATAGATTATGAAAAGAAAATAAATACCGTACTATGACTTTATGACTCCATTGTGTTCCATCCAGAGAAAGGTCCCACTGTTATTTGAGAATTGGTTCATGGAATTCAGTGGTTCTTAGTTTTGAGTAAGAATTACGTTGTGCTTGGATCCATTTCACTTAATGCAGCACCATTTTTTAATCTAATTCCTCATTGCAAGAACAAAATAATGTGAAAATATAAGCACTGGAAACAGAATAAATTATGCAGAACATGCAAATGTAAATCTACATTTATAGAATGTCTTGCCAGGGAAATTGTCCAAGAAACATCTTTACTTATCTTCTATGGACTGGTGAAAAACCATTTAGTTTTTTCACCGTTTGGCTGCTTTCTATGGATTTTTTAAATGCGGTGTTTTATTTGGGGGAAGGGAGAGCTTTTTAAGAGGTATATTTTATGGAAGCACTGATTTATTTCTCTTGTGTGGAAACTTGGCTGATACCTCAATGTAACAATAAAAACAATAATTATACTGATGTGCAGGCAGGCCAGACCCATTTATAGAAGGCGCAATGCAAATACGTTTGTGCAATTAATTGTCCTTTTTCTGCACCACACTACACTTCAACTGATGTTAGTTTGAGCTGAGTTTCTGGCACATGGTGAAAAGCTGTAAAAAAGAGAGACGGAATTAAAAAAAATGCCATACTATCGTAAGAGCTCACATCCACTCTGCCCTTTAATTGGCACTTCCAGTTTAACTGTAAGTGATTAGTTGCTAAATTACTTATAAGCAAGTTTCTGACTTAGATAAAATGAGATCTTTTGATTAAAAAAATCAATGCTGGGCCCCTTTAAGAAGGAAGAAAATATGTGTTGCAATGTGTCACATATATAATTTATGCTCTTTGGTTTCTCCTAGCAGCAAGTGAGTGGGTGGGTAGGGGAAACATATCCTTGGGAGGAAGGGAGCTGTTAAATCATTCGGCTGGTTTAATGATTCAGCCTCTTGGCGACTTGTTGAAAGTGTTCTGCGTGCTCGTTTCAACTTACAAGAAATCAATACCGTATGCATGAGTAAACCATCTTGACACAAGAGGATGTTTAAGATATAGTTCTGTGTACTTTCCCTCTTAAACAGAAGCAGGGCCAGCCTTCTGGAAAAGGAAACATGTCATTGCAGCTGCCTCGCTCGCTCTTTTCTTCTGTGGTAGTCAAACTGAGAGCTAGGGTGGCCTGTTGAATAGGGCAGGATTGAGACATGTCAACCCTCCAGATGTAGCTGGGCTACAGTTCCAGAGTACCCTCAGCTCTGGTCAAGGATGAAGGATATTGAATCTCAACAACATCTGGAACTTTGCCAGTTTCTCCCACCCTCTCCTCTTCCTCAAAAAGAGCTCTAGTTGGACTAAAGGGGTTGTAGTTCTCAGAGTAGCTGGGAAAATGCAGGTATTTTCTGGATGTATAACTTTAAACTGCTGGCTAAGACTTAACCTGTTGAATTGCTGTTGTGACCCAGCAGAGGGGGAAAGAGCAGCCTTTCTGTCAAAGACTCCTGGTGAGGTCCTTGGGTTCACCATTTTAAAAAATGTTAGTGGGTGATGAGAAAGAGGTTTTTCTGCCAGAAACTGCAAAGCCAGCAGCTAGTTAGCACTGACTCAATTTCTGCATGTTGGCTAGGTTTTCCATTCCACTTTTGGAAGGCACCAAGCTGCATAACTGATAAAAATAATGCTATATGGATAGTATTCATTCAGTCATCGGTCACAACATAAATGTCCCCTTCCCCAGGCAATTATCTACTAATATCATTTCCCCCTATACACGTAGTCCTCACTTACCAAACACAATTGGGACCGGTAACTCCATCACTAAATGACACAGTCATTAAGTTGAAATGTCATATTTTTGCAAATGACTGCACTGACTTCAACGTCAGTTTGGACTGTGATTGTGTTAAGTAAATCACTTAGAGGTTGTTAAGTGGGACATCTTGTAACCGTGACCTCTGATTCTCCACTGAGTTGATGGGGGAATCCAGAGTGGGTAGTCTTATGTCATGTGCTCTTCAGACTGAGTTGAATTCTGAGGATACGCCTGCCTGGTAATGTTCCCCAGTCTTCAACTCAGCCTCAGCTTGTTCAGAGATCTGTTCCTGTGGGCTTCCTCACTGACTTTTATTTCTGGTCAACTCTCATATCTGTGAACAAGTTTCAGTTTTTGGGAAATCTTCATAATGAAATTAAATCCAAATTGGCCTGCATTTACAGCCATTTCCAGTGTCTTGTAGTCATGTGATTATGACATTTTTGCTGAAAACCTCCATTTACTTTGGTTTCCAGCAAAAATCATTCATGGTGAACAATGGGTTCATTAAATGACCATACCATTCACTTAATTGCTGCCAAAAAAAGTAAAATGTGCTTTACGACCACATCATGACTTACAACCATAATTACCAGATTCAGTAACAATCATAAGTCAAGGACTATCTGTATAGGAGGGTA